AGGGAGACGATAGATAAGCCGTGCACACAAAGTCCATACAGACACAAAACAGTAATTGCAAAAGTCCCATGGAGGTTTTGAGTTATTCAGAAAACACAGTTCATAAATGAGGGATGCAATCGAGGAATGTAGATGTCCACCAACATACCAGCCTCCTCTGTTGACGGTGTCACTTTCCATTGAGAGTTTCCAGTCCTGTCGGTAACCTTCCATGTATAGTTGTATTATCTTAAGACCTGCCTGCACATTTACCCAACCAACCAACCCATGAACTGAGAAAACTGAGACTTAGCAGGCATCAGAGACAAATTAGTGGGAATGAATTCCACACTCAGATGGGAAAATGCCATAATACCTTGGGAGTAAAAGTTGTTCCAACTCCAGAAACAAAATTTAACGCTTCATAACACGAGTGGTTTGGATCTGCATAGACTTCTGAAACAAGGCAGAGATATAGCCATGTCACGAGTTCATCTTGATCTGCAAGACTATGGTGGTAACGAGATAAACTGTCTGGCTAAGTTACCTCCTCCGAATTTCGTTTGCTCAAAGAAAGTTCTTGCCTGCATATAAAAAATTTGTTCGATAACAATCTCCAGCTACTTCATTCAGAAGTCTGACTGTAGTAAATGGTGAAACTCAGAACCATATACGGATTCAAGAAATATGCAATAACCTGATCGACACTGCCAGGTCCAATCAAAACCAAAGCAACTCCAGCTGCATCCATTGCATCCTAATAATTGACAAAGATAAAAAAAAAAAAAAAAGCTCAACTTCTAAAGCTTGGAGCAGGGCAAGAGTTGGTAACTTACCTTCTTAGCAGCGAGATAATCCGCCCGTTTCCGGCAAAGCACGCATCTTCAAAAATCAGTAGAATCGTTGTGAGAAAATTCAACTTACAACATGATTAAATTTTCAAGGGGACCGCGCGAAATTAGGGTTTTGAATTTGATTACCCAAAATGGCGAGCAAACGCAACGACGGCTTTCCGATCCTTCCACAAATCAGAAACTGGAATTTCATTGCCACTGAGATCAACCACCTTAACGCTGTCCAATGAATTCGTCGTCGTCTCTTCGCTCACAGAGCTGGAGGATCCGATTCCTGCACCCGCGTCAGAAGAATTCAGCTGGAGCCGGGAAAGAGAGAGAAGTAACTACTTGAATACTTGCCAGGGGATCCTGAGATGGCTGAGACGACTGCCGTCTGACTCCGGTGACGACGCGAGAATTCGAGAGACTGTCCGCTCGGACAGTGGCGAGACGGGAGCGAGAAAAGGAAGCGAGGGGAGGTGGAGGAGGAATTGGCGGAGAAATTGGACTGAAGGAGAGTGCTGGGGGAGAAGTATGGGGATAACGAAACCGCCATTTTTTTCCTCGCCGGAGAAAGGAGGACGACGGCCAGAGAAGGGGAAAGAGCTGTTGTGCTTTGCTTGATGGCCGTTGGTCCTTTTTGAGTGATCATCCAAAAGCCAAAAAAAAAAAAAAAATTGTGTGGAATGATGGATTCCACGTGGCGCGCTCTTATCAGTCTTATGGCTTCCGATAATATTCTTCGGGAGTTGCTAATTGTCGCCCTAATTTTAGAAATCGTCCTAATTTATAAATTATTATTACCCTTTTATCCTTCTCTTTTTTATTGTTAAAAATATTTTATTCTAAGAAACAAAAACCATCCTGACAATTTGATATTAACGACGGTTTTCATTTGCACCACCACCGCCCTGACCTCGTCGTCCGCCACCGTGTCAATTGAATGGGATCCATATTGAACTTGCTCTTCATTGGAGTCTCCACCCACCGCCTCTCTTCTTTCTCCATGCAAATCTAGTAACCTACCAAAAGTAATCCAAAATAGAAAACAAACAAACCCATCATCAAATTGATCATGGGAGAAAACCCAGTACGCTGAATATCAAAACAGAGATTCGGCCCATATTTCATAACAGAGTAATTTCAGGATTGGTGGAGATATTTCAGTACCATTTATTGCGTCGGAGTGAGTCTGGTAATTCTTGCTGGGCTTCGTGATTCTAGTGGCAAATTTGGAATGGTTTTGAGAATATATTGTGTAAGCAAGAGCTCGACTGGGTGGGGAGATAATTTTCGAGGGAATAGGAAAGATCACTGAAAGTGAGAGGGGTAACATGTGTATTGATTAATCAGTTTCCCTATTTGGTCTTAATTATGGCGAATGGAAATTGTTTTTGTTTTATTGAATTTGATTTGATTAACGAAGGATAACTTAGTAATTTTACATTTTAAGTTAGGGCGATAATAGTAAAACAAGGGCGACGTTTAGCCATCCAGTATTCTTATGCTGGCTTTTATTGAGAAATTACTAACTAATAACTCATTAACCGCCTAATTTTCTAACAACCAATAGAATTGCTTTAATCGTATGGTTACCATATTTTTGGGCTTAACCACAACAATTCAAGCCAATATTATCGGCGATGTCGGTTTGGCGAAAATAAATACGGATCTGTGACCTGAAAGTAATTGTTGTGTTGGTAGCATGGTCCATGAAATCGTACCGGACACCGTATTGAGAAAGTCAGCGGTAGAGTATTTTATGGTAAAACCGTGGTTTAACCGTAGTTCAACCGTTATACTGATAAATACCGCATATCGGCTTAGCCTCCGGTACTGGTATTTCGTGGTTGAACCGCCAATACGGTACGGTTTAATGGACACTGGTTGGTAGTAGGCAGTAGGCATGCTAATGTTTTACTTTCACGGTTCTAATTGCAGGGCCAACGGCAAGTGGGGAGGGCAGAGCACGTTTCTTCCAATTCCAACTACCGGTCATAAAAGGGCAGGCAGCTCCCTCGATCTTTCTTCAGGTGGAAATGGAAATGGATGAAAACTACTCCGTCCTCACGTGCGCCCACAGCTACCTCAACTAACTTTCCCATCCCATCCCAGGGCGGGAATAGAATCTAAATCTATCCTCCTTCCCTCCCTCCCTCCTTCTTTCTTATTATTATTTGATTAATCGTCACGACATAGGTCTTTTGCGCAAACTTATCGCATTGGCCGTTTAATTGGAAAAACTAATAAGATAATTTTAATGATGTAAAACTATTAAATAATGATTAAATGTTAAATCATAATTCCAACATAAAATATACTAAATTATTATACATTTTAAGTACAATTTTCGATACAATTTTGTAATCATTGTCTATCATATTACAGAGCTATTTATCCTTGGATAAAGTAGGGACGCGTCATATCTCATATAATGGGATTTGGCTGCTGCCACAGAAACAGTGTTTATTTCATTCTTTGTATCATATTGGTTGTTGGCCGAGGTTTGTGAACTCTGGTTGGTCCAGATTGGATAAGGAACACAGAGAATGGCAGTGGCCCGTGGGCATATCAAATGTATGGCAAGTTGATAAGTTAGAGCTGTATTTGTATGGTCCAGAAGGTTATAAACTAATTGACGAATATAATTTTTGGTTTTGTAAGCGTGAAAAAGAAAATCTACGAAAGTGTGTAAGTAGCTTAGTAAACCAGATTGTGTTAGACTAAAGCATGGAGTTTGGAATTTTCAATAATAATATACATGTATATAAGAAAATTGGTGTATTGTAGTTTACATCGTTTGATTTTTGTAATATTATTGTAGTTATTAAATAAATTATATCACTTTTTTGGGTGAAATGTCACTTTTACTTTTTGTTTTTAATATAAAAAAGCAACACACATAAAAAGGTAGGGACATATTTGGAAGAAGAAGAAGAAAACAAAACAATCTCCATCAAACAATCTCAACGAAAACTTGAGATTTCCACTATCACTCATTTTGAGTGATAGTTTGTGTCAAATCAAGCAAACAATGTATGTATTGTTTGCGCAGAAAATTCAGAAAAAACGATGCATTGTGAACATTGCATGCATTGTAACTATTACAACCAAACTATCACCAAAACCAAACAACCCCTATGTTGATGGGATGAGTGTAAATTCGGATCAATAGCAAAAGTAATACAAACATGTATGTTCAATGACCGAGATCGGAGATTGTGAGTACGCCGAGTAGTGCAATATGATAATATCAATTCATGTTAATGCCCACTCTATCTACATACAACAAAATTCTTAAAAATGTCAGAAAAATTTATTTTATTTAGCTGGATGAAACATTTATTGATAATTCAACCATAAAAATATAAACGAAGAATAGGGTTATATAACTGATTAGAATTGCGATATTAACCATAAATGTTAGAAAGATTTTCTAATAAAAAAAAAGAAAACAACTTTCCTTTCGTTCATCCAAATATCTAAGGGTCGGAAATAAACGTATTGTGATGAATATTGTATAATAGTATACCTGTATTGATAAATTTGGTAAATTGTAAAATACAGCTTTTTGGTATGTATGATTGTCTATGTCAAATCAGACAAAACTATGTAACAGAAACAATGTATGTATTGTGTATGAAAAAATATAAAAAAACTTCGATGCATCGTAAACAATACATGTATAATAATAATATGGGCAATGTCTATTTTTTACCCAAACCTTTTTCAGATTCTTTTATTTTAACCAAACCTATAGAAATTCTATTTATTATCCAAACGTATTATAATTTATCAAAGTCTGGGCATTCATTCTGTTACCGTTACTTATTTTGTCCACGTGAGAGGTGGAATTTTGTTTTGTTTTTTGATAATCTTTTTATTAAAAATAGTAAACGATGGTATTCTGACCGCCACGTAGGAAGTCAACTCATTATGGTCATACTTAGTCAGCATTACTAACAGAAAAGTTGACGGAGAATTAACGTTTGGATAATTTTTAGGAATTCAATAGGTTTGGTTAAAATAAAAGAATCTGAAAAAGGTTTGGGTAAAAAATAGACATTGCCCTAATAATATCACAAAAACAATAACAACTTCCAAACAACCCCTAAGTTGTAACTAATGTTTTAGAAAGTTTCACCGGACCAAAACAGTCACTTTCCCTATCTCTCTCCACTTGATCACTTTCCAAAACCTCAACCACAAAAAGGGTATAGCAGAGCAGTAAATACACAGAGAGATTCCTTTCCCTTCTTCACTCCGCTCTTCAAACAAAATGTGCAGGTTAGTTGGGACTTGGGTGGGAGAGAAGAAAGAGGAAGCTGCTCATTCAATAAAATTATCCATCTCCTTTGTGTGAAGAATCTATTGAGTTTTCCCATTTGTGTGCAAGTTCTCAAAGTCAGATACACACCTCTCCATCATTAGATCTTGTTCTGTTCTCAATCTTTTGGTGAGGGTTCCCCAACTGTTTGAGGTTTTTCTGCATCGAGGGGGAAATGGAGGTGAAGGAAGCAGCAGGAAGGAGAGCGGTGATAGCAAAACCAGTAGCTTGCAGGCCAACTCGCAACTCCACTTTCGGCTCTTTCTCTGAGCTCCTCGCCGGCGCCGTCAACGCTTCTTCTCCTCCCCCTCCTTCTCCAATTGCAGCCATCATCAAGCCCAAAACACTCCGATTCAACCCTCCAGCTCCCCAGCCGCACCCCGAATCATGTCGCGCCATCGTTTACCGCCCACGAGCAAAGCTCGTCTCCAAGAGAACTGCTTCCCTCCTCGCAAACATGGCACCCAACGACGATCCCATTTTACTCCCTCGCTTCAATTCATCACATCAAGAGGCAGGGGAGGAATTAATTAGCCCCTGTTCCAATAATGCCGTGGAAGCACAACCTCAACAGGCCACCGAGCAGCTAAAGATCTCAACATTACCAATTGAAAGCCAGAGGCTGGAAGCAGAGGACATTCCCAAAGCCGCCGTACTATCTGCTGCTGCTGCTTCTTCGGTCCAAGTGGCGTACGGAGACAGGCCGTCTTACGACGGCTACAACTGGAGGAAGTATGGGCAGAAACAAGTGAAAGGGAGCGAGTACCCACGAAGCTACTACAAGTGCACTCACCCGAGCTGCCCCGTGAAGAAGAAGGTCGAGAGGTCGCTCGATGGCCAGATCGCGGAGATCGTTTACAAGGGCGAGCACAATCATTCGAAGCCGTCGTTGCCCGCGAGGCGGAGTTCGATTGGGTGTGAGGCTGTTGGAGGTGAAATCCGGATGGAATCAGGATTGTTGTTGCTTCCCAGTAGCAGTGCTGCTGGGACCGGTTCAGATGGGTGCAGGGGAGGCCGTCCTGCCGCGGATGTTGAGGTCCAGGGAGATGACGATGAACCCAGAACTAAAAGAAGGTTATAACATAACACAAAACCCACAAGCTTTTTGATTTCGGTTTGGGAAAGTCTGGGTTTTTGTTAGAAATGACAGGAGAAAAAATGATTTCGTCCTTTTTTCCAGGAGAGCTGAGGATCGCGCCATTGATCACTCGGGGAATGCAGGGGAAGCTGGTGGCAGAGAAACTGCAGGGGCGGCGGCGGATGGTGAGGTTTTGGGGGATGGATTTCGTTGGAGAAAGTATGGGCAGAAAGTTGTGAGAGGGAATCTTTATCCCAGGTTGCTACATGATTTTCTTCTTCCGTTTTCAATACTCCTTTTTCAGATTTCGCTAAACAAAAGAAGAATAGCACTCTGCTTCAGTTTCTAGGAACTCTGTTTCTGACAGGCAAGTGTTTTGCCTCTATCAGGAGCTACTACAGGTGCACGAATTTGAAGTGCAAAGTAAGGAAATACGTGGAAAGATCTCCAGATGATCCGAATGCTCTGGTAACGACCTACGAGGGCAAGCACAACCATGACATACCTGCACCCTGATGCTTCAATTTCTTCCCTTCATTGCCTTGTGTTAATGGCACAAGTTGCTGAAATTTTCGTGTTGTGGTAAGTTTGTCTTCAATGGAAGTTGCGACACAATCACAATATATCATGTAATATTCAGGAATCCATGAGAAGAGATCAGTTGTAATATTAATGTGGCACAACCTTTGTTCTTAAGGGCGACTGTGAGGGTAGATTACCATGATAGAAACATGCCTAAGAAGCTTCAACCATACTATGGATCAAGGCTCAAAACCATGTTAATATATCAAAATGTGGAATTGAAAAGCTTCAAGTTAATTAACAACATATATTGCAGTCAAATCCGCGATTCAACTCGTAAAACTGTACGCTTTTTGTGCTTCTAGGTCTTTGATGACACGCAAAATATCCTATTTTAGATCCCCTATTTCTATGGTATTTTTTATATCTCCATTGTCATAGTAACTCTGATTTGCTTTATAAATGTTCAAATGTGCGTTTTACACATTTGATGCCTTTATTGTAGTGTTTTTATAGTTGAGATCAAGTCATCAAGGAGGGATCATCATGGCATGAAGGAGGATGAGAAAATGAGCGTCTAGGTTCAAACGAGGACAAATTCAAAGCTCCAAACACACATACACAATAATAAGCATAAATTCTACGATCCTATTGCACTAGCCATGTCATACCCTAGCCATAAGTAGCTTAATTGGTTGGCTAAGCTAGCACACATGCTCAACACAACAACAATTTAAACCATTCCTTAAAACAACTAGATAGTCTCCGACAATCTTTCATAAACTACTTGACATTCAAGGTATTCATTCACTAACTAAAACTATAGAAACTATCTAAAACAAGATTAAGCATGCAAGTTTTATTTTAAAAAATGTAAGAAATGCAAACCGGTTGTTGGGGTACCTCCCAACTAGTGCGTCTTTTAAGTCTTATCGCCGGACGATTATCTTCAAGTATTCGGTCCACCTTAGAAGCTCATTGAAGTTGAGGTTCTCGTCAGTGAGGTGGTGTCTCAAGTTCCAAGCTCTTGACGAGTCCATTCTTGAGGGTTCGTGAACTTGAGTGGTCTTGAAGCTCCACCCACGAGACCTCTTCTTCTTCCTTCTTCTCTTTGCCCCACACCATGTAGTGCAACATCGATTGACTTCCATCGCATCCACCAAGAGGGATCGCTGATGGTTTGACTTTGGGTTGGCAAAGAGCCGCAAATGGGTCCTTCTCCAAAATTGCATCGAGGTCGAGTGGAAATCTTTTGTAGTACTTGTAACTTGTAGATGCTTCATCCACCTCGGCCTCGGCCTCATATTGAACACCATTTGCAACTTCAACCTCAACCTCCCTTCCTTATTCCTCCCCTTGGGAACAATCAAGATCTTCCTCTTCTTTGATGCTCCCTTCCTCCTCCACAACCTTCCTTCTTGCCTTTTCCTGCTCTTCCTCAAGCACACCACAGAGGGAAAGTTACAAAGCAATTTCTTCAATACGATCCTCTCGCATCCCCTCATTTGTGCACAACTCTTCAAAGCTCAAAGCGGAAGGCAGAAGAATGTGGTCTACCACTAAAGGACTTGATTTCTCAACATCATCTCGGGAGTTCTCCGGAATGAGTTATTCTTGCTCCCCTAAGTCATCACGGATCGCCTCCTCCACTTTCTCTTCCTCTTCAATTGGTAAGAGGCTATTGTGAGCAAGTTGTGCACATACTTTCTCAACAATCCCTCCTAGCCTCTCCAAGTTTCGGAGGATCTCATCTAATGTGTGTAGGAAGGATGAGACTATAGGGGGGGTGGTTTCCACATTGGAGCATGCTTCGATATCTCGGGTGAACCGCTCCATCATGAGCTCCAGTTGGCTCTTTGGTTCTTGAGGAGTGTATCAAGGTTGTTCTACACTAGAGATTGCTTCCTCGAAACCCCTTACAAACCTCTGCACCAAGAGTTCCAATTCTCTTCTTGGCTCCTGTTATGGAAAGAAGTCTTATTGGGATGAGGAAACCTCTTCGTATCCCCATTGGTATGGTTCTTTCTCTTGGAAGGGAGGTTGATCATAGAACCAAAGAGCCAACTGGAGCTCATGATGGAGCGGTTCACCCGAGACTAAAGTTCAAACCCCAACTAGAAGACACGCTGAGCTGCTTCGCAATTGCACAGACTAGCACTTTGGTGTGTAAAATTTCGAGTGTCCTAACAGTAAAATATACAAAATAGACCAGAAAGTAAGGCATCCGGAACTGGAGGCAGCCATCTTGAAGTTTATTAGTGTTACCGTTCATCTATGGAAAACAATTTCACAACAAATCAAATTGAAACGCCTATACAAGTATTTCCAAGCACCATCTCATGGAGCATTTGGAATAATGAGTTCAAACCCACTAACTCAGCTCTCTGCATTCTCACTTCAATCCACTGACCAGCAGATGCCATTTTCAACTTCCAGCATTGGCTCTTGGAGTACCTGGAGCCAAACGCAAGCTTTGGCCCGGCTGCTGCTGCTGCATCTCAGCTGCATTCTTCTGCGAAGCGAGGTGAGACAAAGCTGTGACGACATCAGCCATGGCCGGTCTCATGTTAGGCTGCTCCTGAACACACATTGCTGCAACAGCAAGAGCCTGGTAGAGCGCCCTAGGAGGAAACTGTCCTCCCATCATTGGATCAGCCATTTGCGCAAATTTCCTTCGATCGTTGAACAAGGGCCGCGCCTGTAATCAAAATGGCAACACATGATACGGTTTGATCAATTTTACTATGTTTTAAAACCACCTGTATATGATCTGAGAAAGGGTTTGGCATAAGACCAAGGTGTCATTTTCCCCTTCATACTAACTTACCCAAGCAACCAGATTCTGTTCACCAACTGATTTGCAGGTATCGTAAGCTCTCCTTCCCGTAATGATCTCCAGCAGCACAACCCCAAAGCTATAAACATCTGATTTCAAGGTTAGTTGCCCTGTCATCGCGTACTCAGGAGCACAATACCCATAAGTTCCCATGACTCTCGTGGACACATGAGTATTGTCACCAACAGGACCGAGTTTAGCCAGCCCGAAGTCAGACAACTTGGGATGGTATCCTCTGTCGAGTAAAATGTTTGAGCATTTGAGATCTCTGTAGATGACTGGAGGCTTGGCCTTGTCGTGCAAATACTCTAGCCCTCTTGCTGCTCCTGCCGCGATTCTCATTCTCGTGTTCCAATCCAGCCCTTTCTTACCCGGTTCAATATCTGGATAAAGAAAAGGAGAAGCAACATCTCTTAGTTTGAGACCAGGAAAATGCAGGCCAAATAGACACAAGTGGTGTCATTATTCCCACTACCATGTATATGGTCATCCAGAGATCCCAAAGGCATGTATTCGTAAACCAAGAGTCGTTGATCTCCATCGGCACAGTATCCAATCAGATTGACTAAGTTGCGGTTATGAAGTAGACTCAACATCAGGACTTCAACTAGGAATTCTCTGTTTCCTTGCAGTCCATTTCTGTCAAGTTGCTTGATTGCCACTACCTGCAAGACGAAAGCAACCACCCCGTTTCAACTTAGATTCTAACAACCACTTTAGGGCCATGAAGTAGGGAAGTGAGTCTCAATTCTCAAAACCTGATTAATGCTTTCCAAATGGCCTTTGTAAACCCTTCCAAAGCCCCCCTCGCCAAGAAGACACTCTTTTTTGAAGTTCATAGTTGCTATGGCCAATTCCCGGAAGGCAAACGTCTGAGCTGGAATCTCATTGGATGATATTTTTGAGTCTCCCTTGTTATCTTTCCTGGATCTTTCTGCGTTAACAGTAGGAGGGAGACAACCTTAATATTATACCAAACTTGAAGGCCACAGAAGACCCACATTGAAACTTGAAAGCAAACAGATCAACCCAAGCTTGTGCGATCATCAAGGCAAGACTACTAGAAGAATTCCAAGGATTTTGTCACATAGTCCTCATCAAAACAACTAAACCCCTGCGGAACCCTAATCAGAAGAACAATTGAACTAAAAGAATCCTAACCCAAAATTCCCATCAAAGCCCATCAAAAGGGGGTCAGAATCACTCTTCTCTCAATGAGCCATTCTGCAAACTTTGGAGAAAGGACCCGAAAGTTGTCAGAAACAAACCTGAAGTTCTTGATCTTTCAAGAGGCAGGTTCTTTTTGTCATTGATCATCACCACCATCTCCATAGTACCCTTCTGCGGCTGCTGCTTCTTCTTCTTCTTGCTGCTGCCATTGTTGGTATTTCTCTTCGTGGTCTTCGGACCCACAGCTACACCAGAACAAGGGATCCATTTCATGTTCCTTCACGATCAAAACAACCCTCTTTTCTCGATTCAGCTTCTCTTCTGATCCCTAGGGTATTATCTTCTCACAACAACAGTATGTAACTATAGAAAGATCAAATTTTTTTTGTAAGATTGCAGCAAACGGCTTAAAATTTGCGACAAAAACAAAGCTATCACATTCAAAGCAAGCCCTCCTCCCCAGGTTCCACTCTGTCTCCCTCTCTGTTTTCCTGGCTGACCTTCACTCCGTCTCTCTCTCTCTCTCTTTCCCTCTCTTATTTATCGTCTCGTCTGTCCTGTTCTTTCTTCTTTTCCTTTGTGCCCGATCTCCCCGTTTTGCCAATCTTCGTAATCATTCGTCGCCTACAAGTCGCAATCTTTGGTGGGCTCCATCAATTTCGATCGTGGAATCGAGTAATATCACAGTACTCTCCAATTGCTGACTCCCCTCGTCAGAAATGGTCGCAATCGGAAGAAAAAGTCCACTCCACTAACGGCCCAGATTGAAAGTTCCACTCCAAGCCTAGGCTAGGCTCGAGCACAGACAAAGTTTGCCATGCGTTCAAGCTGAAAAGCTCGTTTTGTTTTCATTTGAATCGAATTAAAGTAATTGAAACTTTCGGCTGGAAGTTATGATGATGTTAGTAAACAGCTGTGGTGGTCAAAGCCTTTCAGCCACCAACTCAGCCTTTCAGCCATCGGTTTTGTCATCAACACGCCCGGCGCCAGCTCTCTCTGTATTTGATTCCATTCGGGTCCCTCGATCCAAAGTTTTGCCGCCCGAGTATTCGAGCAACTGGGTTCCGTAAAGTATCCAGCTTTCGGACCCGATTTCCTCACTGTTCACAGTTCATCATACCGATGGTTGCATTGGAGAGCAGAGCAAAGTAAAACAGGGGAAAGAAACAGAGGAAAGCAGACAGACAGACAGACAGTTGTCAGGTCGACGCGGTCCTCAGGAAACATGCTAGCGAGACCAGCCAAAGTAACCACAATCTTTTTTTCTCCGAATTGCTTGTCTTTCGGGAACAATAATATTATTATATATACCTACAAGGCAGCTTAGAATTGGAGTATCCGCCATGGCTGTATCGCTAACGCATATAATATGGCTGTTTTCAATAATTGATTGAATAATTAAACTAAGAGAGATGATGGTATTTGAATCCCACCCACCAAGCGGGTAATAGTGTAAACACAAACATTCAAGCTACAATTGAATCTGGTGATTTGAAAGGATTGGACGAAAACACTGTGGAAAAATTCCCTGCTGTTTGACTGCGTTACAGCGTTAGAAGAAGAAACGGAAGAAGGAGAGAGACGAGGGATGGGAAACCGGGAATGCAAATTGCTCGAGATTGACATTTTCCAGCATCAGAAGTTCAAAACCCGCTGGCATTGCCCTGTACTTATGGGGGACATTTTATTATCTTTGTCCTCCGAATTTTTGTTAAAGCAGAGTTTCCAATTGTGTGTTCCACGATTTTTCTTATAATTCCAAACCTCTCCACCAAGAGTTCCAATTCTCTTCTTATGTAGGGCCGGCAAATCTTTCCGACTCTATACCAATATTATTATTGTTATTATTGTCATCATTATCATTATTAATATTAAGTACAAGTAAAATCATTATTTCATACTAAAAAATAAAAAAAATAAGAAGGTATTAAAAATCATTCCCCCAACTCAGGTAACCAAAAGAAAGGAAAATGGAGGATTTGATTTTGCTCGATTCAGCTCTCAAATCAAGTGGCTTCAATTCGAAGAGGAGCAATGGCAAAGGAAAGCTATATTTGCATTTTTTTAGCATAAAAGAGTTGATACTATACGGGGTCCGTTTGGAAGTTGTGACTGTTAAATCATTGCATTGTAATGAATCGACATAATATAAATGCATGTATTGATACAATGGATGCATTTTAACAATACATTGTTTGGTTGTTGAGATTCTACTTTATGTATTGATTTACATTAAGTTACTTTTATGGGGAAATGTCATATTTACCCTCAACTTTTAGTATAAGACAAAAACTATTAGGGATATAAATGAAAAAAAATAGTTGACACAAATCTAAAATCAACAATCACAACAATCACAACTTTTAGGGGTCGTTTGGAAGTTGCGATTGTTTTGTTGAGATTGTTATTATACATGTATTGTTTACAATGCATCGTTTTTTTGTTTTTTTAGCAGAAACAATACATGGATTGTTTCTGTGATGTGACAGAAACTATCACTCATTTTGAGTGATTGTTATATCTCAACTTTTAGTTGTGATTGTTGAGATAGTTGAGTTGAGATTGTTTTGTCTCAGCTTTTAGTTGAGATGTATAATGCATCATTTTTGTGATTGTTGGTGGGACCTACCTAAAACAATGCATGCATTGTTTTACACTTTGACACTTCCAAACATTGTATTGTGCACAATACATGTATTCAACAAACACAACTCTAACAATCACAACTTCCAAAAGACTCCTACAAGAGTGACAAGTGGCTTTTACAATTTCGTTGAGGTTATATGTCAACTATCTTCCATTTACCAATCCCTGTCGCTGCGGACTGCGGTTATATGTCAGGGAGAAGATCGGTGGTGTGACATTAAACTTAGCCAGTGGTTTGATCCAGCTATCTGTCGGGTCATTAAAGCTATCCCTCTTTCTCATCAGATTATTCCAGATAAATGAATTTGGCATGCCACGCCTGACGGGGTTTTCTCTGTTGAATCGACTTACCATTTTGCAGTCTCTCTAGATAGAAGGAAGGGTCGTTGGAAATCTATGGCTAGTTGGATGGATAGGGCCAACTGGATTCGGTTATGGGAGGCTAACATCCCACCCAAATTGAAAGTTTTTGTCTGGCAAATCTTCCATAGGATCTTCCCAACTACAAAAACCCTAAATGAGAGGAATGTCCTGGTGAATCTTAGGTGTCCAGTCTGCTGGGGGGAATTGAAAACAATGGAACATCTGTTTCTTGATTGCCCGGTAGCTCGTGCTCTTTGGGATCATTCAGGGATGGAGCATCTTGGGCAAGGATTGCCTCGGCAAACCTTTCCCTTCTCTTAAAAAAGTTGATGTCTCTAATTCACCAACCCTGTCTATTCATGGCTATTGTGGCGATCTCGTAAATGGGTGGTTATTGAAGGTAAACGGTTCAGGATCCCAACTTTATTGCGGCAATTTCACCAACAGTATGAGGAATGGGAAAGTTTGCCGGTGGACCGAGTTCTCCATTCTTCCACCCCCGGTACAACACGTGAATCTTGGTGGGCCTCACTCTGCTGTTTGTATGTAGGATGGGGCAGTAAGGAGTGGTTCTCATTCAGTAGGCGGGATGATGATTATGAACCAAGCTCAAGAGATCCTTTTGGTTACTGGGGTGCAGTTCCCTTTCATTGATGACCCTATGGTGGTTGAATTACTTGTGCTTCGTGAGGCTTTCTTATGGTGTCTGGCTCATGGCTTCACGAAGATAAGGTTTGAAGGTGATGCCAAAGTGGTCATCGATAAGATCAATCGGGCAGATACCAGAGACAATCGATAGGAGCGGTTCTTGAAGAAATTGTGCAGTACTTTGTTGTCCATAGACCATAATAGGTTTAGTGTGCGATTTGTGGGTCGGCCTAGCAATAGGATAGCCCATTTGGTGGCTCGACAGACCCTTTCTTTGTACCCGACTACGAGTCGTTTTTTCGATTTTCAGGCCTAGCTGATCTCCAAGATGTAATTACCTATTTTTTGAATCCATATATATTTTTTTTATTTTTGTTCTTGACTTTGCTCCTGATATGGTGTTTTGGGATTGGAATATCCTATCGATATTCACGAATTACGAGCATCTTCTGTGATACAAAAAGAACGGCATGCTGGAATTAGAAAACGAAGTTGTTAGTTTACAAGTAGTAGCCAGCCAGGTCAAAAATAATTTACATTCTCAAAGACCAAAACAAAACTTGTAATTCACGTATGGGGAATCTAGAACTACTGAATGCATTGATCAGAAGAGGAAAGCCCCTATCGGTTGGTTGAGCCTGAGAATGGAAGTGAGGCAGTTAGTTGCATTTGCATATAACCGATTCCACCACCGCTGGCTAAGTATCTGCTGCGCCGCCGGTGTTGCCGTTGCCGTCGCCGGCCTCCGGCCTCCCCTGTTCACAACAAAATCTTTCCATCATCAGCTCCACCGGAGTTAGAGTTCAACTGAGGTGTATTTTTATTTATCATTACTATTTAGTATCTCGTTGCCCATTTTTTCCTCACCTTGCCTTTGTCACGCCAGCCGAGTCCAAACGTCAAGCGACCAATTCCTCTGCCAGTGTTTTCCCCTGTCGTGCTCTGGTTGCGAACAGCCCTGGAAATAGAACAGAACCGTCAAGACTAAGGCTGGCAAACACAGAAACATAATTCAAGTGGGCGTCCCAAAAAAGGAAGACCAAACCCAACTACTACCCTGGAGGTTCGACGAACTGTGCTTTAGTCTGGCCAGATTGGTACTGCGCTGTAGCCTCCAACATTGACTCCGCCATCACCACCCGCTTCTCCATTTGAGCTATTAATCCCATGGCCTTGTCATATTTCTCCTGCAAAACCATAACGCAATTGTTTTAATATTAGCCGCTATATCCTGGAACCAATAGGAGATGATTGTGGAAGACAGAGAAGAGAGGGAGAGACCCGAAGTGAATCGAATTCACGTCTCTGAGCAGCTGCTTCTTTCTCAGCAATGACACGGGCTTCTTCGGTTATCTTTTGTTCTTGCTCGACGCGCATCAGTACCTACAGCTCACACAAACACAATATGTATCCATGACTAATCTCCAGATGATTTCGTCTTTGCTTGCCACTCAATCATCAAGAGATTGGAGTTAACCTCGAGCATTGCAGCTTCTTGCTCTTTCTTCTCAGCCAGGGTTCTTCGCAGCCCATACATCTCCTGCTCCAGCTTCTCAATCTGCACCAAAATGACACTTTGAAAATCGTCCATCAACTCCTTTCGCTTCAGATACCACTAGCTTCTCTACCTTTCACTGTTTTACCAGCAAATGAGCGTAAAGCCAATACCTTTGCACTCAATTCCCGCCGATTGTCTTGTTTGACCATCTCCATGAGTGCTGTCTCCAACTCTTCAGCTCTGGAGTGAATCAAACCAGACAACCGAACACAAGCACCTTAGGAATTTTACTTGCTACCATTCATTACTTAGACGGATAAGAGTATATGATATGAAAGCTAGTTACCTTAGTATGGCGGATCTTTTCTCTTCCAACAATCTGCACAGCTCAACCTTCAGCCAAACCACCTACACGCCCAAAAGCTCTTAATAGTTGAAATTTGGAACAATAAATTATTTTTTTAAATTTTACCAAATAATTCCTGATGGAATGGGAACTACCTGATCTTGAAGATCTGGCAGACAATCCAGTTCTGCGTCGGAAGATAAGCCACATAAAAAATCATCAAAAGTGGAAGCAGATCCCGACAGAGAATTGTCTCCTTCACTGCTTCTTCCATCACGCCCTTTGTCGTGTTTGAAACTGTAGAGCTTTGTTGCAAGACTTTTTGAATCCTTCCAAACTTTACCCTGTCTTGACCTTTCCTCCATTGCTTCTAAAACTGATACTCTGTGTTTATCTCTCAGCTCTACCAATCTAGCTTCAGTTATGGCCAAAAACCCAACACAAGCAGTCAAAACAAGCTGGCTGCTGTCAAATGTTGATCCTGCTAGGGACTGCAATAAAGTAACTGCATCCCCAGCATCTTTAGTTGTAAGCAACGCAGGACCTATGAAACAATTGCATTAACTTGCTATGATGCTTTCAAATCCCTCCAAAAACAAGAAGATAACTGTGAATTCAAAATCTAAAGAGTACCATATAGCTCCATGAGAGCAAATGCTGTCCGGAACAACATCACACGGTTTCCTTCAAATAGAAGAACATCCCAAATTCGCAGAACTGAAGATAGTTTCAAAATTAGCAGGAGAATTAGGGGTCATAGTCAAAACTAGCAGAAGATAGTGACATAATTCTTTTGCCCATCCTATTTTCCAAATGAATAATTAGGTAATTGAAACCATGGACATTACCACTTTCCCAAGGAAGCATGTTTATGAAAATAGAAAGAAACCAAGGTCCAGAAACCCATGCAACCTGCACTCCCATGAATTCGAGATGACTAACTGCAGCAACAGCATAAATGAAATGAAGAGACAATTCGAGCTGCACTCAAGCAGGGGGTCAGAACAAACAGAGCTGACAATTTGACTAACCTAATCTAGGAAAAATTTCATGCATCAGCTCTTCAAAAACGAGCTGGTCCACCTGTTTGGCATACAATGTTATATTATTGAGAAAGAACATTCAAAGAATGTGTAGTCGCATTGTGATAAATAAAAAATACAAAAATAGGACAACATACTAGAACAGAAAAACAAAATGACTAATTTCTGAAGAAACTAACAACCACACCTGTGATTCAATCATTTCTTCGGTATAGTAGCCATCAAAATAGTCATCAATAATTCCCACAAAAGTCCTGTGCAATTCAAAAAAGGAAACCGATTCAGCCATCTAGCTATCTAAAAAGGAATAGTGATCTAGACTCTATATCGATATCCTGAATGTGAAATAAATGCAGACTCTTTTGAGAGACCGGAGAACAAGGTAATTCAAATTCAGGTACAACATGGTCTTATAATAAGATACTTTAAACAGGGTTTCCTGACCACATCTTTGGGAATTATGTCTGTAAGGAAATATTTGACAGAGATAGGATGCTCAAACCTACCAAAACGCATTTTCCTCTGGCATCAGCAATAGCAACAAGCCCGCAAAATAATTCATTGCCTGCATTGTACGTGCTAAAAGTGAATAAGAATAATCACTGTACCAGATGGGAGCTACAGAAGCTTCAAATATGCACTGAGAAACTAAAGCCTTAATGATAGCAGACAAGTAATTTAGATCGTGTGAGAACTCTAGCCATGATGCTCAATTGATGAAGTTTACAAGTAGTCATGCCAAGCATTAGTCATTGCAAGACATTTATTGCTGCTCTCACCTGACAGTATCCAACAGAAGGATTATGCCGAGCATACGCTGTAAGTATCCGCCTCAAGGAATCCCTACCATGCTCATCCAAAGCTGGATGACCAGGAAATGTTCTTGGTATGTCCTGCATTAGAAACAAAATTCATTTTAGGGAGAACCTAGACGCCAATCCAACTCAAAGAAGTTCCACCTACAAATTTAAAAGATTAACAATAAAGCCCAAAGCATGCCATGCATCTAATGACCTTTTCAATCTGCTTTCTCCACTTCTGGGGTACACCTGTATTGTTATCATCGTTGCTTTCGTCAGCATTTGCTTCTTCTGCAAGCAAATCTTCATAATACTTTTCAATCCTACGCGCTTTTGCACCGACAAAGGCTTGCCATACCTGGAAAGAGCAGGATCAGATGTATCCGATGCATGATGTTTTCAGAAATAATAAAACTGAGTACCATTATAGCTTTACCTCTCCCCTGAGATCTTTTGGCACTCCTCCATGGACAAGGAACTCAAGCTCCTGATTCCAATGGAGGAATGGTTCTAAAGAAGGCTCATCCTCTACTTTCCTTTCATCTCTGCCCTCATTAACCTTGTCATCCACATGATCCTTAACATTTGACTCCTCCTCAACACCATCATCTGGTTCTTCTTCTACGGAGCCATCTTCTTCTATAACAGGAAGTTGGTCTCCTCCATTTCTATCACTCTTCTTGTCTTTTACATGATGTTGCTCGTGAACACGTGAACTCATTAGCCTCTCTATAACCTTTAGGGAAGGTCTAATTTGACCCCAATTGGGAACTTTACCAGCCTTTGATGTTTTTGAAAGATCCTTCTTTTCACCTTCCTCGGAAACATGCAACTCTTCCGGTGTTTTTGATGGTACTCCCGAGGGTTCCGATGGTTGCACCTCCTCTTCAGGCAACTTCACTGGCTCTTCCTTCGTTTTCTGCACCTTTACCTCAGGATCCTCAACATATAATATCTCCTTTCGAGGTCCCTCCACACATTGCACCTCCTCTTGAGGTCTCTCTGTAGACTGCCCCTCTTGAGGTCCCTCGTTATACTGCACTTTTTTCTCACTTTGTCCCAAAAGCTGAGCCCCTTCTGTCGATTCCTCTGAGCGGTTTTGCTCCTTTGGAGTATTAGAATGAGAGCTGCTCACACTCGCATCATCATTATCCCTTCTTCCCTCTGAACCAGCCTCTTCTCTAGACTCAGTAGTGGTCTCAACCTGCAAGACCTCTTGATTTGCTGCTTGTTCTTCAGGTTGATCCAAATTTTCTTGCTGTTCAAGGAAGATCTTCCATTTCTGTGACCTCTCCTCCTCCTCCTCCTAACATACACCACGACCGAAAAGATAACAACTCATTCAGAAAGAATAAAAAAACTTGGATTTTTTCTTGGTTCCCCCAAGTACTTAATGAAATTGGGAAATTGTTGGTGTTTCTGAAAAAGGGAAATACCTTATAGATATGGATGTATTCTCCGTATCGTTGTAATTGTTGAGGTCTCAAGACAAATCCATAAGAATCCCTAATCGGAGACACCAATCAATCAGGCTCCCCATGAATGCAGAGAACAAATGAAACGAACAAACAAAGAAATGAAACTGAAATGGAGCTTGCCTGGACTCAACCTCGAACGAGCGCCTACTCAACAAGGACAACAACATACTTCACATGCAAATTTCCGCATTCGAAAGCCCATAACTCTCCCTTAATTCATTTCTCACTACTTCATTCGTTGTAGAAACAATGGTACTAATAATACCAAACTCCCTCCCTAGAACACAAAGAACCTCATTTTCTTCCATATATAACTTTGCAATCGCAGGACATCCATTTAACGCGAAGCAAAAAACGAAGAATCGGAAAGAAAGAAGAGAAGGGGAAAAAAGAAAAAGAAAAAAACAATCAATCGGTGATTTTATTTTCCTGAGGTGAGAAATCCAGACTCGGCTCCGACTCACTCATTGCTCATCCACCCAATCCAGGACCGAGTTTCCGTTCACTTTTGTCGGAAGAAGGTTTCAAATCAAGTCTCGGAGAAAAACGAGCATTCAAGGACACGCGGAAGCCGGAAATGAAATACTAGTTAGAATTTTAGTTGAGTACCTGCTTCCGTGGTGGTGGAGAGTGTGGTGGAAATTGAAGCTATTCTCCGCCATCTCCGGCTGTGTTGTGAGGGTCAACGGGAGCTGCTCGAACCTCCGGAGATTTTCGCCGGCGGATTCGGGGGTCTTGAGGATGCAGAGCTAGCTGCGGGAAGAATTTCCCACCCAAAATGAATTTATTGGCGGTTGCATTTCTGGTTCCCGTGAACCTGAGCTCACTGGAACCCGCTTTGGTACGGTCCACGTCACGTGGAACTTCCCTACTTCCCGTTGAGTCTTCTTCTCCTTCTTCTGCTTTTCTTCACCTTTTCAGTTTCCCTCTTCCTTCCTCCCTTTTTACGCGAACGTTTCTCTTTTGTGTACAAGGGGGAAACTTTATCCCTCAATATCGAAGTTACGAAGCAAAAGCAGTTGACTCTACTTGTTTAGCATTTTTTTTTTTTTTTATGAATCTGCATGTAGATCATCAACAACTAAGGAGCAGATAAATCATTTTTCATTTTCAGCGGCTACCCGATCATTTATTTTTCAAGCTTCTAACTAGTATCTTTAATTGAAAGTTAAGTTAGTGTAGCGTGAATACGTTGGAAACATTATTGTCCGGACTCGGCAGCGATCCGGGTTAGTGAGGTCTAAAGTTTATCAGATGACCGTTGATTAATCGGTATAAAATCGATGACATATAAATTTTTCAAATAAAATTATTATAATTCCGTGGTATGTCTAAAATTAATACTATTGTTTAAATTGAGAATTGTATATCTTATTTATATATATATATTCAATTGAAGAATTCAATATTAAAATGTGACTGAGTGGAATGTGAAGAATTCAATTGGAAGAAAAAGAAAGTAATTAAAGTAATGATTTGAAGAAAAAAAAGAGGGAACGTGAGTGAGTGGTAAAAAAAAGAAAAAAGAAAGTGGGCAAAGGAAAAGAAACATTCATTTTTACCTTTCCAATTTTATGTCTTTCAAGGAAAAAATGTAAGTAATAATTTTCTATAAGAAAGGTACGTATTAATCCCAAAACCGTCGATTCGAGTTAGCCAGTTCTACCAGTTAGTCGGATGAATCGGTTAATACCTGGTCAGCCGATTTTCTTATTGTTTAGAGGGAGTCGGAACCGAATGAGTGGCCAGAGCCGATTAGCCGCGGTTTGAGCGGCCGGTCCGGACTAGTTTTGATAACGCTGGTTGGAAACATCTTTAGTAAGGAATCAACAAGTCTTTCGTATGTCGAATTTCTTTCACATATTTAATCATCAAGTCTCTAGCTAATCATTTTGTCAAATGACCAGCTAAATTCTCTCAAATTCGGTCATAATGTTTAGGCATAACTCCATAAGTAATCAGTTCAAGAATTTTACCTTGTCTAATTCCCGCATGACAAGATTTGCCATTTATACACTTGGCTATATGCCTAGCCAAAGTAGCATTATTATCACAAAGGATAGTAACATGTGAGATTGAGACAATGTGACTTCTTTATCAATCACTTGATTCAATACCTAAAATCACATTTACTTCCCTCATGCCATGCATGAAAATTTAGATGACATAATTTTTTTGGTAAAGTTCACTTAAAGACAAGCATGTGCAAGTCATCTATATACAAACATATAATGACTCCATTGTCAGAATCATCAAAAATTGTATACACACTTGTAACCAATCACCATTCTCAGCCAATCACTCGTAACCAGGTCGAGGCTCTTCAGCCACGCTACCCCCAATATCACATTAAATTAGGGCTGGGAAACGGTGCGGTCTGGTCTAGACCAGACCATCTATACGGTCTATAGTCCAGACCGAGAGGATAAAGTATAGACCACAGACCAGACCACAGACTATACGGTTCGGTCTAGACCACGCCTGTGCGGTCTGGTTCGGTCTAGTCTGGTCCACATAGACCACACTCAACGAAAAATGAATAATTTGTTTAGTCAACCACACAAAAAATTGAACCAATAACCAGAAAAATAATTGTTATTTGCCTTAAATCATCAATCCTAACATGCATGAATACTTTTGATACTCTAAATCTTAGTACATACCAAAGATACAAAGTAAAAGCATCCCAACTTGCACCATAACGTCATAAACATTAACATATAATGTCATATAGAGACACGATTATCTCTACTCTCTAGTTAAATGAGGTTATGAATTAAGGAGGGACGAGATTCACAAAACTAAGGTTGAGACTTGAGTGTCGTTGTGGGAGTTGGGAGAGTGGTCGAATGAGCTGTTAACACGTATTTACAAGTCAGTTGGGTTCACGGTTTGGTCCGGTAAACCGCGGTCTAGACCAGACCAGACCAAAATATCAAAACATAAAATAGTACAGACCATGGACCAGACCAGACCAGACCATACTTAACGGTCTACGGTCCGGACCAAACTGTGCGGTACGGTTTGGACCACGATTTTTCTAACGGTCTGGTCTATTTTCCCAGCCCTACATTAAATCTCTGCAAAGGAAACGCAAAAAGATCCACACCAACCCTTGAATCTACAGGGGAACGACTTGGAATTGTCGATCGCACTACACAGTTGCCCTGTTCGCTCCTTTGACCGTGAAGGTTTTCATCTGCGTCGCAGTCAGCCCCAAGGTTGTCGCAAACTCCTCTCTGATGAAGTTAAGCGAGGCTCCGCTATCGACCAAGGTCATCGCAGCCTACCTGTCACCCGGCTCCGGAACAAAATCCTCGTCAGCCCCGCTATCCTAGCCAACACCACCACGGAGATCTCCGAGTCGACCGCTCTACCCTTCGCCTTCTCGTCGCGTGTTCACTGTTACAGCTGAGGTCGTTGCAGCCGCTTCACTCGACGCAGGCGCAGGCGCCAACTGGCCACCCCGTCCAGCGCGATCAACCATCCTCGTGACGGCCCTCTCGTTGGCCTCCTTCAATATCGCCAAGAACTCCGCCATCGTTCCTTCGAGCTTTTTAAGGACTTGTTAGAGGCACTCCTCAATCTGTTTATCTTGGCCCCGTTAAAGAGCTACAGTAAACTTATTGTCGAACGAGGTTATGATACCACTTTAAGAACCTCGAATAGAATTGAGAAGGATTGAAAGAGAATTAGGTTTAGCTATTGAGAATTGAGAAGCACTAAGGAAGAAATTTGGGGAAATTGAGAGGAGTATAGGAAGAATTTTGATTGTTATTTTTGCTTAATTCGAGAAATGAGAAGTTCTCTTCCTTGAATTGTTTCTACCATACTAACAAAAATAACACCCGCATAAAAAAAAAAGGGCCAAATGTCCCTAATGGCTGAATTGGCCATGTTTCTAACAAAACGTGATACTCCATACAAATACCATATATCAAATAACAAGAATTACATATATGATATTTGCGTAATAATTGACTCCAAATAACATATTTGAAAAATACTTAATCCAAACTACCAATAATCCCCAAAATTTGTTAATAATTTTGAGTTATCGATCGTTTGTGATATGTGATTGTGAGGATGAAATCAATTACTGAAGCAAGGAGACATCACAATGAGCACCCTAGAACACTACTTTATTGAATAAGTTCGGTAATACCCGGCAGTACCACTCCAACCAAACTTCAGGTGACATGAAATCCAAGAATTCATTCACGGTTAATAATTATACAGCCACCTTCTTACAGCATATGAACAATACAAGTGTACATTTACTCACTGCACATTTCTAGCAACACACCAGTAACCAACTCAGTGGCAGCTTTTTATTCACCAAGCACAGCAAATGGCTCTCAGAAAGTCCCCGTTCATGACCAGGAACTCCCTAGAGAAGCTTCGTCCTTGTAAAGATGCAGGGCAACCGCTACTGAGCCTGCGCAGAATAGATATCTGATTTACAAATCCCCGAAATACAGGTACAGTTCCCATGTTACAACTTGACAGCCAATGACAATCGATTGTAGTTACCGAGAGACGCTTGCGGAAGGCCTCAACAGTCTGTTTTGGATCAACTTTCGTTGGCTTGTAAGCCTCGAGTTTGTTCGCCTCCTGTATGCGTATATAAGGATACCGATACCATCACCCAATTCAAGAAGAAGAGTAACTTATGGTTATAGGCTCATAGGTCGTCGAAGGGATTATGTTCAATACCTCGATCAAAGCTGCAAGTTTAGGCCTGCCTTCAGTAATATCATACTTGAGCACTTCAGATAAGAAAACCTGGAATCTTTCAATGAATGGGATGTAGGCAATGTCCACCTGCAACATACACATAAGGACAGGTTGTAGATTAGAAAGCCTTAAAGTTAACATCAAATCAACTTGGGAGCGCGCTAAGGGAAGTCAAAACTTACCAGACTGAATTGGCCAAGGAAGAACGGCCCATCATTGAACCTCGAAAGGGAGTTTTCCAAGAAATCAAAAACTGGATCTGAAACACAGACCAACCAGTAAGTTTTTTATATGTAACAAAATGTAGCTCCGGTACCAAATGGAAGCGCGCTACAGAACTCACCAACTTCGTTTGCCACATCTCCCTTGAACGAAGAGAATACCGATCCAACGAACGTGTCGCTGTACGACAACAACTCATCAGCAAACTGTTTCTTAGCAGGATCCTACCAAGATTTTCAATATATCACCAAGTTAGCTTCTTGCTGAGGTACAGTGAGAACACATTGAAAAGAGGGGGGGAGAGCTCAAAGAACGTTTACATCAGGGGTAATAGAAGGTCCCTCAAAGTTGGCATCCAAGTACTTAACCAAGTCGAGACTCTCCCCGATGATTTTCCCATTGTGTTCAAGTGCCGGCACCTTAGAAGAAACAAGACCAGGCATCAAACTTGAAAAGAGTAACAATTGACTAACATGATCACACTACTAATTAGCCGCCATTAACAAAGATGCATATGCATCAAGACTTGGAGCAACAGAACAACAGTGTCTTATCAAGTAGGCTAAACTTTGTGTCGCATAATCACACGGTATGTTATATTTTTCTACTCACTGATGAAAAATTCACCTTATTGGGAGGATAAACCTTCTCTTTATACCAAGCAGGCCTGTCCTGAAGGTTCAAGGGGACTAGCTTTATCTCATTTTGCAATCCCTGAGAAACCAACGAGATCACCCAATTACATGGAATGTAACCCTTACCAGAAAACAGGATTCTACTCTAATTACATATGGAGCTGGAAAAGATAACCTTGAAATTCCTGGTGATCCAAACTCGCTGGGCGTAAGGACAGATGTAAGCCGTGTACAGCCTTCCACAAACCAGCAACCAAAAAGGGGAAAGAAAGAGGCAGCAACCATCACCGTTGGGGCCATCATGTCAGTACTTTAGCTCCAGCATCAACGAAATGAGGAAGGAAGAAAGAAAAAAAACGCAGGCGGACGAGAAACGGAAACGAGGGAAGGATGAACCTGGTAGTGCCGTCGAAGAGAGGAGGCTGCTCCGCCGTGGAATCCAACGAAGGAGGCAGATTCTCCAGCACGGTCCTGGCCAAACGGGTAATCAGAACGGGAATCTTGGAAGACGATCAAAGGAATTAAAAGTAAGCGGAAATCTTACGCAGCAGCGGCGGCAGACATTGGCGACTGTCTCTTTTTCGTTTCGCTGGGAAGTCTTGCCTGGCTACTGGTGGCGATTGTGGTTTGAACGAGAGTGAATTTTGTGGTGGTTTGTGGCCCAAAATTGCAGAGGGAAAGCCGGTGGTGCGTATTTATATCAACGTTACGGAGCGGTGCCGGTCTGTTCGTCTCTGTACGCAGTTAAGAGAGGGACCAGTGGATTGGCTGGGAGCGAGTTGACTGAGCTTCTTCTTCTTGTTGTTGGCCTATGGCCTCCTTGCGTTATCACCGTTCAGCGGTGACGACAGGATGTGAGGCTGACGTGGCACCATTTTGGGTGACATTTAGGCCGGGTCGGGTAATTCTGAGATGGGCGGCCCATATGAGGAAGCTGCTGCTGGCCCAAAAGAGACCGCAGGCTAGCAAATAACCTTAAGGCTTGAAGGACGGCAAAATTATAATGGGATTGTTTAGTTGAGATAGTTACAATTCATGCATTGTCCATAATGTATCGTTTTTTTTATAATTTTTTGCACAAACAATACATGCGTTGTTTGTTTGATTTGACACAAACTATCACTCAAAATGAGTGATAGTTAAATCTCAAGTTTTTTGGTGAGATTGTTTGATTGAGATTGTTGTGCTTTATTTTCTTCCAACTATGTCTCTACCTTTTTATGAGTGTTGCTTTTTTATATTAAAAACAAAAGGGTAAAAGTGACATTTCACCCAAAAAGTAATATAACTTATTTAAATAACACAATAACTATCACAAAAACCAAACGATGTAAACTACAGTATCCCAATTTTCGTATATACATGTATATTATTATGCATGCATTAATGACAATGCATCTATTTAACTATCACCAAAACCAAACGACCCCAGGGCTCCGTGCGGATAAGTCATGGCAAAATGGAAGTTTTTATTTAAGGTAAGGGTCTTCATTAGTGATGGCAATGGGGTGGGGCGGGGCGGGTACCTCAGTACCCATGCCCTTCCTCACGCTATTACGGGTAAGGTAGGTAAAACCCGCGTGGGTACGGGGTGGGGCGGGTCGACCCACTCTTACATGTTATTTGAAAAATACACACACGTTTTACTTTTTACGATAAAACAAAGGGAAAACACTTTATGAATGAAGAATGGTGATAACAGAATGGGTAATTGAGTCTAACCAATTGAAAGATCAACTCTAACTAGTTGAAGAAAAGTCCAAATAGGAGAAATATTTATAGATATTATAAGAAAGTGAGAATGAGCCAAAAATGGGGCAGGATGGAGCAGGTCGGAAGTAGATACCCATGCCCCTCCCCACACTACTGCGGGTCGGCTAATACCCGCGGTGCGGGTTCAAATTGCCATCACTAGTCTTCATCAACACAGGAGCTCTGTTGCGCTCTCGAGTGTTCGTCCATAATGAGAACAGTGAATGCATCTCGACCAGGTTGGATCATGAATATCTTCCCCTGTTTTATTTCAATTGCAGAGGATTGGGACATTGTAGGGGTGGGCATTGGTGCGGTCAAACCGCTCCGAACCGCACCGAATCGCTGTTACGGTCGAGCCAAACCGCACCGTTAATCTTGCAGTTTAATAAGCGGTCTGAATTTTTAACGGCTCGCGGTTCGCGGTCGGATTAATCCGAAACCGCGCGGTTGCGGTTCAAAACCGCAAACCGCTAACTAAATTCTCTCTCGGAATTGGAAGGTCGACTTCCACCACCCCCCCCCCCCATCAGCAGCGATCCCAATCAGCTCTTAGTAGCCAACCTTCAGAACGACACCCAATAGGTTCAATCAGCAGAGATCTAACAGGCACCAACAAAGCACTGACTTCCTAATGCCGATACTGTACACTGAACTCCATATACTCCACACAAAGAGAGAAGATGATCACAACCCTGACAACTTCCAATGATGGGGAAAAACAGCACACCAATCCAAGACAGCAAGGTGAAGGTCCGAAATTAACCGCCAGAGCTATGGAATTTCAAAACTTCCACAGGGTGGGAAGAAGTGAACAGTTGAAAAGAAACTCACATAAACGAGAGGAAGAAACTCCCAGAAGCGAGAGACACTCTTTTGTTTTAAATTTTTGGATTCTGCTTTGGTGGATTTATGTTTCATTCAACGTAATTCATGAACATTTGCCAAGTTACAGTTTCATTCCTTCCGCTAGTAGTCATCAGCAGAAGGGGTGCTCTGTTTCGGCGGCAAAAGAAACAGAGTGTTGATGCTCTCGATTGACGATGGCAGAAGTAATTTTATTTAATCAAATATTTAATTCATAATGAATTGCGGTCAAACATGCGATGCGGTCCAAACCGCTCCAAACCACTAACATATGCGATTTGGTTTGACCGCACCAATAACATTGCGGTCGAACATGCGGTGCGGTCCAATTGAATGCGGTGCAGTGTGGTTTATATCAATAGGGTGCGGTGCGGTCCGAACCACACCAATGCCCAGATGCTACCTGTTCGTTTCCTCCACCTCCTGGTTCATAGATCTTCGAGGCATCCATATCACTGATTCCACATGAAATTCTGCTCAATGCGTTTACTTTTATTTTCCACTTAATATGTATCTTTACTTTGTGTAGGAGTTTTACTTCATTTCTTATGGACCTTCCACTATCTTTAGTGAAAGATCATTTACATTTCAAAGAATAAAATGCACACATTCATAAAAACAAAAAATATAAAAAATGAGCCTATGGAAAAAAAGATAATATAGAACGAGTGACCGTTTTTTTATTCTACGACTACATGTATAAAATGTTTTAGGTAAAAAGACTAAACATCAAGAGAGAAATCTGCACTTGAGTTTAGTTGTCAGCCCCCTGAGCCTGCGGCTGCACAGTAGAGAACACCAATATTTTTTTTTTTTTTTTAAGTATTCGATTGAAGTATAATTACCGTATGCTTGTGTGTTTTGATTAAAAAAAAATGACTATATTACCAGGAAACGCAGGCTGTAATACTCGACAACCTCCTTTGGATCAATCTGTTTGGTCAGATTGTAAGACTCTAGCTTGTTAATATCCTACAACAATCAAATTTCATTGTTGATTGAGGGAATGTAAAATCCGAAGCCACTAATAACAAGATGAACAACATGAAGAAAATGATGATTTCCTCTCGTATATATACCTGAATCCAAGCAGCAAGGTTCGGTCTACCTTCAGTAATGTTGTACTGGTATACTTCTGATAGGAAGATCTCAAATCTTTCAATGAATGGGATATATGCAATGTCTGCCTGTAGAAATCCAGATGATCATAGTGGTTTAATCAGTTAAAAAGCTTTGAATATAAGTGTTAGAGAGTGGTATAAAATCCAGCATAACATTCTCCCAACAACTCGAGTTATTGGGACGACCAACTGTACTTGAAAGACATGGTATCAGAGCCTAGAACCAAAATGTCATGTGTTCGAATCTCCACGACCCCCCAATATTAACCGTTGTCTTTCAAGCACATGGTATGGTGGCGGGCCTGTGCAAACTTCAAGCTCATGGGTTGGCTTTCGTTTGAGGGGGCGTGTTATAGAGAGTGGTATAAAATCCACTTCTCCCAACAACTCGAGTTATTGAGACCAACTGATTCTTGACCATAAGAATCAAAGTACGGTCTGTTGTATACTCACCAAACTGAACTGGTCACCAAGGAAGAATGGTCCACTGTACTTTGAAAGAGCATCTTCCAAATAATCAATAGCAGGGCCTGTAATAAAGTCACGTTTTACTTAAAAATATATAACAAAAACTTATGCACTGCACGTATCACAAAAATCTATTGCGAGAAGCACATACCAACATCGCTCACTACATCTCCCTTGAAGGCAGCATATACATTTCCATTAAATGTATCAGTGTATTCAAGCAACTCTTCAGCAAATTGCTTCTTTGTAGCATCCTGCAAAGGATTTCTTATTTAGTCATTCTTTGTAGCATCCTGCAAAGGTTTCTTATTTAAGTTAAGGAGAATCATACATCAGGAAGAAGAGAAGGCCCTTCAAAGTTGCTATCCAAATACTTCATCAAATCAATGCTCTCCCCCATGATTTTCCCATTATGCTCAAGTGATGGAACCTTATGAACAAAAAGACAATTCCATAATCACATCGAACCCATCCCGGTCATCGTCGTCGTCGTCGGTTAGCACATATACATAAACGAGAGCCGAAATCAGAGAAAAGATTCATCCACGGGTAAAGAAGAGAATCAATTCACCTTGTTTTCGGAATAAACTTTCTCTGCATACCAATCCGGCCTGCTTCGAAGATTAAACGGGACTAGTTTTATCTCGTCTTGCAGCCCCTGAATAAATTAAATTTCCAACATGTGTATCCACAAATGCGCACCATTACAGATATATCACAAGGCAATTGGATTGATGCTTATCATTAAAGTTTAGTATAAGATTAACGAAATCCAACCTTGAAATTCCTGGTGATCAACACTCGCTGAGCAAAAGGACATCTGTAGCTTATGTACAACCTTAAAAGTGAAAAATTTCAAAAGCCAACGTGACAATCGTGAAGACGAAGTAGTAAGTGGAGCAAATTGAATAATAAGCACACGTTTTTACCTAGTAGTTCCATCGAAGAGCGGAGGTTGCTCCGACGAAGGACCATACACCGGCGTCAATTTCTCCGGCGCGGCTTTATCCGAACTTTCAACCCCCAAAAACAACAAGTGAAATCAGGCGACTTAAACAATAGGGATTGAAAATAAAAAAAAGTGGGAAAAGATCAACAGTAAGACAGAGAGGGAAACATAATGGCTTAGAATTTTTCTTACGCAGCGGTAGACATTTTCGATGTGAAACTTCTTCCTGGTTTCGGAGGTGGGGGAGATGTGGGAGGAAAGTTGAAGCAATAATTAAGAAATAATAAGCGCGAGGAATCCGTCTTCCTCGCGTCTGACACTTGAGATTAGCAGGGGACGAGACAAGCATGGGAGGCATGCCATCTGTCATTCTGCCCGGCTGGAATTTCTTCTTTTTTTTTTTCCTACAAGATAATTTTAGCAATAATTTGTTTTTTTTAAATAGCTTTTTTTAATTTAGGTAAAGAAACAATGTTTACAATTTGTTAAAAAAACAATATTTTCAAGAGAAGCATTGAACAACAAAGGACCGGTAATATCAGATTCTAAGGTTAATACTAATTATTAGCCAAACCTTTCCCGGCCCCATTCTTTTTTATTAGCCAAACCTATTGAATTATCAATAATTAGCCAAATGTTAACTTCCCGTTAGCAATTTTTTTAGCAATATTGACTGGGGAACATGATACTAACTTGGAAGAGACGCATAGAGATCAACATTC